TAGAGGGAAAAGTAGGTTGAATAAGTTCTTAATAGTTCTATTGAAAAACTGCATTATAGGTGCATGATTTAGAAGAACTACCTATGTGAAGTGTTTCCACTTTAAAAAACTTGGGTAAGGCTTTTATGCACTCGTGAATGGATTGGTCACATGGTTGTATTAGTGCCAAGTATGAAACATTAATATTTGTGTAAAACTTTTGGGTATAATATTTCGAGTTACTCAAATGAGTCGAATGGTTCAATCCTTAGGACACATTGGCTCCAACTCTCGAGTATTTGAAAGGTGTATTATACTATAATGATATTTAATCTTCAAGACATTTTTATTTATTCAGGAGTTTGGTTTTGTGTTTTCTTTGGTAAGTTAAGGATAAAACTAAAATACGGGACGAATTTTGGGGATTTTAGTTTTATCAATATATTTAGGTGTAGTTAGTATTAATATCGAGAAACCTTGGTATTAGTTTACTATCTGATAGGGAAGGTATGGGGTGTTGATGAAGTGGTAATCGAGTAAAGATAATCAAATCAGAGTAAAAACGATATGAAATGATCATGAGATGTAAATATGATCTTGTTTCAGCTCTATTATACTTCCAAAGTTTTACAGAGAGTAAAAAGACAAGTTTTGTAAAGATTTTTATCTAACTCTAACTAAAGTCCCTATTTATAGGAAACATGAAAGTATACAAAAAATACTAAGTCCTGGCATTAAGCTTCGAATAAATGAACCTTAGTAAATACATTACAAAAAACACATGAAGGGTACATACTTCAACTCATTACAAACAATCTTTGACCCTTACAATCTCCCCCTTTGGAATGATGTCGAATTCTCTCAGGTTGTGAGAATTTGTATGGCATACATCATTACCATTCGAATTTCCATGTACCCAGATATGATATTCTTAAGCTCCTTCTTGTCCCCTTCATTATTTTTCTTGCAGTGATTCATACGAACTATAAAATTCGTATACTGAGACATTGTATATCTTTCAACTTCACAAGCTTGGAACAAATACCTTTTTGCCTTTCCAACTTTATCTTTCCCTGCGAAGACCATTCCAAATAGTTTTAAACAAATCTCCCCATCTGCATATTTTGTAACAACCCGATATTTCAACTGTTTGTAATGACCTAATAGGTCAAGTATTGTAAACATCTTTGACTTAATAAAATTAACTTTGATAATAAAATGTCCAAAAAGTTTCTATTTAAATTCTTCTATGTTTAAATGTCATTAAACCATGATCGTACGTAAAAAGAATGTCCAAATCCGACTTCGTATATTGAAGTTATGATTTTTCCAAGCTCGGCTTAGCAACAGACAACTAAAAACTCGAATCGGAGATCGAGCGACTTTTGGCTGGAATGACCTAAACGAGAATCGAAGGTCTCGACAATGGTATTTCAGCGGTAAAAAGTCTGGCAAAAACCGACGTCAGATAAAGAAGTTATGGATTTTTAAAGAAATTTCTTAATCACGTCATATTAATAAATAAATAATAAAAATAATTTCGGAATTTGCCAACGGAATCTAAATAAAAGTTGTAGATCGTAGTCTCACCTTCGCGGGGATATAAAGAACGTCGAAAACGGAGTTCGTATGAAGGAGATATGAATTTTTGAAGTTTGATAATTAATTTATATATAAATTTTATTAAAAAGTTGGTATTATCCGAAGGAGTCAGCCTAGGGCCGAAGTACATGCCGCGTACCCTCGTACGCCTCGCGTACTCAAGGCCACGGCCTCGGATCGTCCACGTCGCCCTATGCGAAGCTACCGACCCGTCCCATCCGACCCGCCCCATCCGACCCATCCCGTCCGAAGTGCGTAAGCGATGACGCACGGGTACGCGCTGCGTACGGAGGCGGTTCAGCACCCCTATAAAAGGGATGCGAGCCTTTCCGAAAATTTTGCTCATTTTCTCTCTTTCTCTCACGATCTTGCCTCGATTTCCGTGCTCGTTCAAACCCGAAGCCCTGGTCTTTTTACTCAAGTCCCGAGAGTCGATTTTACTCCCGAGATTCCCGAGAATCCCGAGAAAAATCTGTTTCCTGAGATGAAACTCTGCCCGGTTTTCCATCTTGCTATCTTCAAACTTTCAAGTGAGTTCATACCCTTTAACTAATGTTTTAAACTACTTTTAAATGTTTTATGGGGGGGAATACAAGTAGAATCATGCTAGGATTATATCAATCGCATGCGATTAATAAGTAGAATTACGCTAGTTATTACATTAATCACATGTGATTTATATACAGCATTCAAAAGATTTTGCTACTCATTAGCCGTCTTACCAAACAGTTTCCTTCAAATGATTTTTATAAACATTTTATATGTTTTAAACTACTTATTACACTGTACATTTTACTCGGTACATTACCTTTCAAACTTATTTACAACTGTGTTTCAATCAAATGTTTCCTTATACTCAAAACTGTTTTATCATACTTATGCCTTCAAATTGTTTTATAGATCGACATCAAGTCGATCTTTTCTTAAAATAATATTTATGTTTCAAATGTCTTACAAAATTCATTTATGCTTTTATATTATAAATTGCATGCCTCTATATGTATAGTTATATAAGAAATGTTTAAAAGACTTAGGAAGGCTATCCACCCTATTTCCTTTTCGCGCCTTGAGATGTGGTCTGGTGGGATATTGGGTATTCATCCGAAAGTCGTTTAAATATTAGTTATATATCATGTGTACATATATAGTCATAAAAAGTTCTTTCCAGTTCATCCCATGCCCTTAGTTAGTAAGGGTATACATCCATGACCATACGTACCAGTTAGACTGCTAGTAAACTACCATATGGGTAGTTTAGGAAGATACTAGAACCGTTACTAGAACGCGATATCATACAATGAGTCAGTTCATTCATGAGTCAATACTTTCTAGAACATTACATATACAACTATACTAGAACGAGAAACATTACCCATACATTAATACGTTAACAATTGTGATCCACTGTATCGGAGCATGCGTTAAATGTAATGGCCCGAGTTGTAGCCAGAATTCTCTTGGAGGGAGAGCGTTGAGTTTGCATATAGATCTATACTGGATTGACTATCCTACACCTTGCTGCTAGCTACAGCCAGACCTGCAGGTCTGCGGGCGCCAAACGTCATTCCGTTATTACGACCGTTCTTTATGTCGTTGTTATCAGTCGATAGTATGGTGCAATTATCACATTATACCTTAATATAAATCCGGTTTAAGGTAGTTAGTACAGCAGTAGTTCCTATAATACAAAACTACAGTACTACAATGATTTACCCATTACATTTTTAGTGATAACCTCACTTAAACTTTAATGTACAAACTATATTTTGTTAAAAGATAGTTACACTTGGGAAATTACACACTTTTACAACAAACGAGCATACAAAATATTTAAGCCCTGTAGAAGGCTACTTTAATAGAAAATATAGGTTTTTCTGAGAGATTCAAACTTTTACAAACATTTACATACAATTTACAACTTATACTTACGACAGGTTCACACGTTTTGATAACAAACATCGACACTAAAATACTTATGAACTCACCAGCTTAATGCTGACAAACTCTTTCAAAATAACTTGTATTCTCAGGTCATCAGTAGATAGGTACCGATCCCAGCTTTTGAGAAGATGAAGCGCATTCAAGACTCATCATATTATTTTGATTTACATTATATTTTTGGTGTCTAAAACTGTACAGAACACGCTTGTATTAAAATTTTATATTTAATGCAATGGATGATGTTGTTTGCTTATTTACATTTACTGTGTTGTGATACTTTACATGACATCCTCCGCCCCAGAACGTTTCCGCCATTCTTGGTTTTGGGGTGTGACATATTTCTTCAATTCTGCTTGAGACTTTGTTGGTTCCATAGTAGCTTTCACTTCTAAACCTTTCACCATTGCTAATTCCACTTTAGTAAGAGCTAAACTTTCTTAGTAATTTTCCAAAAATATCTTGATGTATGCAACTCCAAGTCAAAAAACATCAAGATCAGTTTCTCAAAGATATGGATAACTCCTGTCATTTAAGAGCAATGCAACTTGTATAAGATCATACAAGTTCATCAGTGGAAAGTCAGCCACAGAAAAATCACAAACTTGTGCATTTGCCCTTTTTACAAGAAATCGAACATTCTGCATCACATCCTCGAACAAAACATCCATCCTTATCTGATAACCTAAGGTACTTTGATCAGGGACCATACTTCTTCTGGATCCTTCCCAAGAACAGCATGGAATCGAAGCTTCATGTAGTTGTATTCATCTTCGCTCTTGAATTTATCCGAAATTTTGAATTATGGCATTAAAAACATCATTTTGTTAATTGGAAGTCAAGCTGGCTTGAATCTGTATTTGTAACCACATAACTTTGCTTCAGTTTCTTCTCAAATGCATACATGTGATTGTAAGCCACCTCCGCCTCTATGGTCTCGTAGTTTTAATGTTTAGCAGGCACTACTAGAAAAAAGGCCTTTTACGACGCGCAAAATACGACGCTCATTGATCTATGTTACACAAAGGAGAGTGACATTAGAAAAATGTCATCTCTTCAAAAAACTTAAGGATAGAAGACACGCATTATTGCACGCCCTTAAATTAGTGTCTAGAAAAACACGGAGGGCACCTATAATAAAATGCGCGTCGTCTAAGGATGTCGCTTTATATTTTTTAATGGAATGCGCGTTCCATCCTTTAATAGTGGGGGAAAGGGGGAAATGAAATTCTGAAAAAATTAAAAACCCCGCCTTCCTTTTTTTCTCCTTTCCCTCTTGCCCAAATTATGAACGCTCCTTCCTTACTGCCGCCTACTTCTTCCCCCACTTACTTTTACCCACTAGAACCACCATATCTCCCACTCGATGTTAAAATTGTTAGAAAAAACCCTAATTATACTCTCAAGTCTCAATATTAGGAATGTGAATCTTGATTCTCTTTTGTTTCAGATTCCCCACAGATAAATCGAAAAACACACAGATGAAGAACCGTAACTTTGCTCCATTAGCTTCCCGATTGCATCTCATCATCACCTTTGAAACTTCTGCGTTAGAGACCCAGGTAATCAATTTAATTTTCATTCCTTCACATATCTTTTTCTAGTTTTGAATGATTTGGCGGTTCTTATGTAAAAATTTGGACCGTATCCTGCAAAAAAATTGGGCATATTTGAATAGAAAGCGGATCTGAATCTAGCACTCTCGATATGATTATCAGGCTCAAAGGACTGGGCGTCGTTAGGAAGGTCGTCATGGGTCGCTAAGGGCGCTAAACACCGCCCGATATCTTCTGCCAAAGGGGTCGCCAGCCAAGTCTCGCCAGCAACTTAACGAGAAGAGAGAGAGAGAGGAATAAAGATGTTCAAGCATTCATAGTGGTAACTTCCATCCCTAAATCGACTTATGTTCTTCTGTTTTTTTACTTCTCGATTTATTATGTTAATCCATTGTGCATCTCTATTGTTTTTGTTTTTGTTCATATTTCAATGAATTCTCAACTCCTATACTCCATTTTTGTGATTTATGTGTTTGATTTCTGCAATTTACCTTTGTCTTTCCATGGTGTTTAGACGAACACCAAGTGTTCGATGAAATTCCCCAGATATCATTAAGTCTTTAGCACCTATTACATATGTTTTATGAAGTGAGCAATGCTTCATTTGATAATATTCACATGTATTTTTATGTTTTTAATAATTTGTGTTGTGTGCCACTATATGACTACATGTGTGATTTAACTATATGCATTCAATTGTGGGTGTTGCTGCACTCAATGGTAAGATATTCTTGAAATTTTAATCCATTGTTACATTGTTTTCATGTTAATTTAATGGTTGATGGCCAAAGATGTTTTTATTTTGTCAAATTTAGGGCACATCTAGTTTGTGTTTAACCAATGGATGGAATTTAGTTCCATTGCAATCATTTAAAAGGCCAAAATACCCCTTTGTATGTATAACGATTAACCAAAAATCTTAAATTAACTATTTTTTGTGCAAATGATTTTTCAGTCAAAGGCAAATTCGCAAAGAAAAGTTGCAGCTAAGGCACACCACTAAAAGGAGTTGTAGTGATTTTGTGTTTTGAATAATTCTTGATGATGAATTAGTGTGGCCATTGGCCATGTTATATTTTATCTTTTGCTTGTAACTCTTCGATTTTCAACCATGAGAAATGGTAATACGTTTTCTTAGTTTTTTTTTCAACCATGAGAATGTATGTTTATTCAAGTATGTTAATTTAACTTGTTCTAAATGGATCCATGACATTGTGAATTTTAGAAATTTTTTATTTTTTTACACGGTAATTTGATATATAAATTGTTTATACATTGATCCCTAAAATTTTGTTCAATACTAGTTCTCGAGAAGTATTTTATTATTGAATCCCCAGTATTTTTTTTATTGAATTTAATTAATAGTTTATAATAATTAATTTTAGATATGAAGAAGCGGAAACATTTGGAAGGAAGGGCTAATGTACAAAAGGTTGCTTTCAGTATGATCTAGAATTCAGTGAGCTATAGGTTTGTTATTCTTCAAACTTTGCTTGGTTGAAAATGGTGATCTGTTCTATTATATATATATATATATATATATATATATATATATATATATATATATATATATATATATGTTGCTTATTTGTTAGAAATTTTCTAACAGGGGCAACTGTGTCATTTAACAGAGCTGATGTATTGAGAGAGAAAACATAGAAGCAGTGTTTGCATCTTGTGATGCAGCTCATGGAAGATGGGCAAAACTTATTGGTGTTCGTGCTCTTTTGCATCCAAGACTAAGGCTTCAAGACTTTTTACAAATATATAACGTGTCACAATAATTTGTAACTGCAACAGAGAAGGTAAACAACAATTTTTTGATTAATAATATTATTATTGTTGTTATAGATGACAAAACTGAAAGCAATGCTTGATCAAGAAACATGGGTTGAAGTAGATGTGGCTGATGAATTCTAGGGAATTATGGATTCCCTTTCTAGAACAATTGTTCACTATTTCTAAATTCTAATTACTTTGTATGTTTCAGTGGTCTCCTGACAAATCATCCATCTTTGGAAGCTCAGCAGAAGATGGTGTCTTGAACATCTGGGATCACAATAAGGTGTGTCAACTCAACCAAAAACCACTTTTACTTTCATTCCATTTTCCCCTATTCTTTTCTTGCAACAAATTGTTTTTTTTTTAATAAAAGGTTTGTTTGTTTATCTACAGGTTGGTGAACGTTCTGGTCCAGCCTCAAAGTTTGCACCTGGCTTATTGTTCAGACACTCTGGACATAGGTATATATATATATATATATATATATATATATATATATATATATATATATATTTAATTTTAATTAATGGTTTTCCTTTTTACAGAAATAAAAAAATAGATAAAAATTGAAACAATATTATATTGTGCTATGATTGAAGGGATAAGGTGGTTGATTTCCACTGAACTCGCATGATCCATGGACAATTGTCAGTGTGTCGGATGATGGTGAAAGCACAGGTGGCGGTGGAACTCTACAGGTATGTATATATATCACTTATTTATTATTATTTTAGTTTTTATTAAAATGTTATTTATATTGATTAGTTGAAATGTTTGTTTTGTTTGAATGATGATGTGTGTAGATATGGAGGATGATTGATTTGATTCATAGACCACAAGAAGAGGTGATTAACGAGCTGGAGCAGTTAATCACCTCATCCCTGGTTTTGATGTTGAAGTTATTTCCGAATTTGGGATTTAGAAATTTGATTCGAGTCTATTCAACTTGTGAAGTTTTCTTTAATTTATTTTCTTTTTAAAATTAGTTGCAATGGAATTTAGATTTCGAATCAATGTTTCATCTGTTTGATAAAAAAAAATGTTTCTCTAGCTTTCAAGGAATGAATCATGTACAAGCACTTAAATAATTAGAGAAAAATATGACTAAATCCACTAATCCATAGTTTTTTTTCAATTTTTCTATGAACGCAATTGGTATGAGACATTTCTTGCGGTTAAGTTTTTTTCATTGCTAACCAATAATTGTGACGTTGAAACCTTATGCTAGTTTCATTTCAAGTGATATAGATTCTGTGAGAAGAAGTTCTTGAGCTAATGGGAGACCAAAGAGTCAACATCCAGAAAGCATATTTATATCTTGCTCTGACCGATTAAATTATTGCTAACACATATGAATTAACTACTGTACGCATATCAAATAATTCTTGAATTGTTGGTTTTTGATTAGATGCAGTCAGGTTCTTTTATCTTTTATCCCCCGCTTTAGTAGCCATCTTTGGAAAGCCCTTGTTCTCAAAACAAAACAGGTGATTCTTACAATTGTCAAACTGAATTTTATCTATGGTTCTGGTTGCATAATTATTGTATTCATCATTTTAACTGAGATCTTATTTTACTTTGTCAGGATATGGACATCCAAGATAGAGAACTAGTAAATGACTGGCTCATGATCATAGTTTACAAAGAACGTGGTTTTGGCTGAAAAACATATTACCATGTGGTATGCATCTTCCTTGAAACTTCATGATCTTAGGCCTCTGTGTTTGTTTATTTAAGGTGTTAGCATAAATGGGAAAGCATACTTTTGAATGTCACATTGTTGCCTTCACTTATAATTTGCATAATGTCGATTGTGCTTTAGAATATTATTATTTTTTTTATTTCTCCTTAGTAACTGTGGGCATAGCACCACCTGTTTTTGTGTTTCTTTTATTGTGAGGGAAATCCTTAACTGTACCAGTGGTTCCGATTATTTTGGTCTCTTAATGGGGTATTTAACCCTTGGCTGGGAATAAAATAGTTAAGCAGATTTTTGTGATGCTTATCTGAACTTGAAGAGTTTTTTCACCTCTTGAACGTGAGAATAGAGTTTCTACCTGATCCTTTATAGGGGATACTTTTGACTAGTGCAGGGAAACTCTAATGTTACTATGGATTGTCTTAATTGCCTTAGTTTCGACTGATGCAGAGTGTTTGACCAACACTGATGCTAATGCCTAATGCTATACTGCTTTATCTTTCTTTGTTGGTAAGACATTTGTATGCTAAACCAGATGCTAATGCCTAATGCCTAATGCTATCACTTATGGTTTAATTCAGATTCTGGGACAAAAAGAGTCATAGCTGGGCTGTTAATGTTCCTGTTTGTTTTCATTTATACAGGTAACAATCTTGTAGAAAGGACTTATGAATCAGACGTTAATGGTAACAAGTTTAACACTCGAGTCCATATGATTAGATTAGATGTTAATGGTAACAAGTTTAACACATGTGTCTTTGTTATACATACAGATTAAATGCAATGCACTACTAGAAAAACAGCCTTTTACGACGCTCATTGTGCGTCGTAAAACGCTCAGACGACGCGCAAATGCGCGTCAAGGAAGGCCCTGTCATAACGAGAGACGACGCGCTTTTGCGCGTCCTCTATAGACGACGCGCATTTACGATGCTCATTTATGACACGCAATGCGTATCATTGAAGTTGCTGTCAAGAAAGGCCATGTCATAAATGAAGATGACACACATTTTTGCGTATCATAATTTTAATTTATTTTTTTTTTAAATTATTTATAAATTTACTAATTTTCAAATTAAATTTGCATTTCATGTCTCATAATAGAAAATAAAATACCATATACAAAAAATATAATACATTGCACAAAAGTTAATGTCATACAAATAATCATTCCAATAGTAGACAAATGGATAAATCTCAAAGGGTTCAAAAATATGTTTGTCTTCTAATAGAACTTATACACAAGAAAGTAGTGAATCTGCTATTGAACTTATACACAAGAAGGTTTTTGAATTCAGAAAAGGTCTTAGCAACTGAATTGGCCCCGTAAGCTTGTGGTTTTACTGCATTTGAACCCAAAAGAACTAGAGTCTCAGGAAAGCATATTGGCATATAGTAGAAGCAAAGCCCCTCTAATAAGATAAATATGATTGGATGAAAAGGTTTGTACCATACATGAAACCCATTCAGCAAATGATGGATAATAAAGATCTTTAAAGTCCTAAAGGGGTTGTGAAATTAATGCAAATATCCGTTTCACTTCCAAGTGTCGCAAACCTCCATCTGTAATAAGTGTGAATGGAAAATTCAAACGTTCCAAATTCACCAAACCTGCAACAATCAAGATCATGTAAAAGTCAACTCCAGGTCTAAGGGTCAAACAAGATTGGATCATGATCAAATATGCTACTAACCAGAGAGATGACAAAGACCATTGTTTCCATATTCTGTATCAGACAACTCCAAACATTTCAAATGAACAAGGCCTGAGAAGTAGAATAGGTGTAAGAATATTTTGAGACAACGGAGGTGAGTTCTTTACTCCGTTGGAGTCCCAACAGCAATACTGATATCAATATAATCTCTATAGATGATATCATCTCCATCAATAACAACATTAATGATTAGTTGATTTTGTAGCCCACTAACAGCAGTCTGAAAAATATACTTCAACCATAATTAAATAAAAAAAGAAAAAATAAAAATGCATGATAATTGATTTGTAAGCTGTAACTTACTTTCACAAATCCAGACATGAGCCCAAATTTCACTCCATGCTTCTCAAGGAAAGCTTCTTCATATTCAGATCGAAGTTTCATTAAATCTTTCCTAAATTAAATAACATAAATTTTAAATCATTGAAAATGTAATGTGAATTATTTAAATATATAAATAATATCATCACTTACATATCGACTTCATCAGACGCTTACTCATTACAACCTTTGTAGGTGGCTCCACTATATCTCCCTCTTTTGCAACAAACTAAGTTATGGTTAAAAGGGTATATCAGTAATTTTAATAAAGATGATAATTCTATAATTGTGATTTTTGAATTCATACTAAAATTACAATTTACCTCTTTGATAACTCCAGCTTCAGGACTACCAACATCAATTGTCACCTGCCTGATTAAAAAATTTAGTACTCATTATCCTTGTATGTGCAAAAGACGAAAATTCCCTCACCATAAAAAAAATAGTACCTTATCAGTTTTGATTTGGTCAATTGGCTCATATAATCAACTTCCACATGATCTCGAGGCTCTATGAACAACAAAAGAAAAGTTTTCAAAAAAAATAATTATAAAAATGAAAGAGAGAAATAATTTGGCTATTCAATTTCAACATATTCTTTACAAAGGCTGCTAAAGTGCCATCACTAATGGATTCTCCCACAAAAGGGACAACAACATCAACCAAGTCACCTTCATAACACAAAAAAGGATATAATTTAGTCATTAAAAAAGAAAAAAAAAAGATTAATATGGATTGTATTGAATTTACTTATAAGGAAAAACATACCACTGTCTGAAGAAAAAGATCGGGTCAACATTTGTGTTGAAAATTCTGTTTTAAGTGATGATACAACATTCCTATATAACAACACAAGTTTCTTCAAAAAGGGTTATTGAGTGTGTGTGTGTGTAGATAGAGAGAAGGTACAAAATTGTATCAACCTTAAAAATTTTGAATCTGTTCTTCAGTTGTTGTTCTTGCTTGTTCTTTTATTATTAAAGATTCCTCTTGCATTCTAGCCAATTCAGCATTGTGTTCTCTTTGAGCTTCATGATCTGTTTGCAGATACTTTATACAATTGAAGATGGAAAACAATACTATAAAAAATGTAGTGTGTGTGGGTATTTTATAGAAAGAGAGAAAGAGAGAAAGTGAAAGAGATTCTCAAACCTGCATTCTTTTCCTAGCTAATTCATCTTCATATCTTAACATTTGGGCTTTAACTTGTGATTGTTTTTCTACTAAATTCATTTGATCTTCTGCAAGTTTACGCTGCTGTTCGTGCATATGAACATGATTATTAACTATTATGTAATGTAATTCCCAAATAAAAAAGACAAAAACAGACTAAAGCATATGAAGGTTGACCTAAAATAATACTCACGATAGCAAGTTGAGCCTGAATGGCTTCCTGATGAGCCTTCTCTGCAGCCAATTCAGCAAGACGAGCCTTTTCTTGTTTCTCATCACCTCAAATACCTAAAAAAAATGAACCAAAATCCATGTATTACCAATGCAACTGGTAAAAAATTAAGTAGTACATAATAATGAGAAACAGAAAAACAGCCAAAGTACTACCATTGCCTGCAGAAAGAAAAAAAAAAAACGTTAATCAGTAGAAATTTTTTTAACGTTTAAAATCGAATAAAAGAATTGGCTAGACATAAAGAATCTGTTAAGTTGGCACATGCATAATGGCCTTGTGGTATACTCTTCATTAATCAAGTAATTTAACCTAAAGCTATGTGTGTATGTTGATTAATTTATTGATTGTTTCTTATTGATCATTAAAGGAGAAAAGAAAAGCTTGAATTCGGAGTTGTGGCATGCTTGTACAGGTCCTCTTGTTTCCCTACCGATAGTAAGAAGTCCTTCTCTTGATGTTTCCCTTTCCTGAATCAAAAGACAAAAGTGCCCTCGTCAAAAAGGCTAAAAACAACTTATAAACATCTTTACACCAATGGAAGTTGTCTTCAGTTGCTCCCCAACTAAGAAATTGAGTTCAACAACATTATTGACCGATGCCGAGAAGTACAATCAGGTCCTTGTGTAGAGTGACTACAACATAAAGCCCGAGTTTTTCACCAAAAGCATGTTGCCCTAGCTCACGGTATCTGTCAAATCTTTTTCCTGGAACAATTTCGTGTCATTTCCACCATTTGCCATAGTGTGTAGAGTGTAATCACCTAGGATAGGACTAGTACTGTGATTCCAAAGCCCCTGAATCAAGCAGATTGTATATTATGAAACTGGATTTTGTGTGAGGATTTTCACCGAACATGTTGTGTGCATTGTTTAAACCAAAAAAGAATCTTACAGAGAAGACTTGGATTGAAGGAAAAGTGATACCATCCGAGTTGAGACAGGGCGTAAGGAAGACTGAGGACACCGACACCAACCATGGCGGTGACATTGTAAAAGGTTGAGTACCACCGCTTTGCATTTCTGGAGGATGTCAATGGAAAGAAAAAACCATTTGAGTCTTTTGCACTACCAAGCTCTAATTCCATGATTTTAACAAACTAATTCTCGGATTTGACCGTCAGGAAATCATTTGAAGCTTAATGATGATCTCTTACCTATTGTAGCGAAGGAGATGCAGGCAGAGTCTCGTTGACGGGTGGCTAGTAGGTCGGCGATGGTGGCGGACAGGAGATATGAGTCGGAGGAGAAGGTGTTGAGGAAAAGATCGTAGAGGATGGTGGAGGAGCAGAGTTTGTTTCCTAAATGTAGAGAGAGAGAGAGAGAGAGTGTGTGTGTGTGTGTGTGAGAGATGAGTGGGAGATGATGGTGGAGTAGAGGTAACTGGTGAGGGATGGTTCAGATCCGGCGTCACGGCGAGCTTCGGCTTTGATTTCGTTCAAGACCCATTCGTATTCATTTTCTCCGCAGTTGACGGTGGTTTGTGGAGATGATGATGGCATCGTATTCTGCGATGTGGTGTTCCGATCTTGAACTGACATCTTGAGATGGCGGAAGTGTTTGCTTAGGCACTTTGAACTCTTAAAGCTTATGAGGTTCGATGCTTGTGGTGGCGGCTTAGGGCTTGCAAATAGAAGGGAGAGAGAGAGAGAGAGAGAGAGAGAGAGAGAGATAGAGAGAGAGAGAGAGAGAGAGAGAGAGAGAGTGCAGAGAGAGTCGAAGATGAGATGCTTAAAGGATTATTAGGGTTTTTTGGTAGAGGATTTTAGAAGGAGAAGAAGGAGATGCATCAGGCGGGGTGTTTAATTTTTTGGGAATTCATTCCCCAAGATAATGCGCGCGCCTTCCTTAAAAAATATAAAGCGACACGTTTACACGACACCCTTTTTTATGATAGGTGCCCTCCGTGTTTTTATTTTTTTTATTGGACACTAATTTTAGGGCACGCACTAATACTTGTCCTCTATCCTTCAAAATTTGCAAAACTGACATTATTTTTTAGGGTACGCACAAATGGGTGTCCTCTATCAGCGAGTGTCATTGTTTGCACGTCATTAAAGGGCTATTTTCTAGTAGTGATGGATTGTATTTTTTGTATATGGTATTTTATTTAATATTATGCAATGGATTGTATTTTTTGTATATGGTATTTTATTTCTATTATGACAGATTAAATGCAAATTTAATTTATAAATTAATAAATATATAAATATATATTTTTTTAAAAAAAAATTAAAATTACGATACGCAAAAATGCGTGTCGTCTTCATTTACAACATGGCCTTTCTTGACGGAGGCTTCCTTGATACGCATTGCGTGTCATAAACACGTGCGTCGTAAAGTTACGACACGCAAATGCGTGTCGTCTTCCTTTATGACAGGGCCTTCCTTGATACGCATTACGTGTCATAACCGCGCGTCATAAATGCGCATCGTAAATGCGCGTCGACTCTCTTTATGACAGGGCCTGCCTTGACGCGCATTTGCGCGTCGTCTGAGCGTTTTACGACGCGCAATGAGCGTCGTAAAAGGCCTTTTTTCTAGTAGTGAGGGTCTCCTTTGTTCAATCCAAGAGGATCACTTGCCCTTTGATTCATGCTGCTTTGAATGATTCTAAATTTTTCCATTTCGGCTTCTGCTTCTGCTTTCTTCTCTTCCTTAGACTTTTCCACCACAATCGTTTTTCCTTTGCCTTTGATGGCAGAACTATCAATAACATCTTTTGGTTTGAAATACCACAACCCCCAGTTGAAGAACCAATCATAATTCCTTTTGAAATTGGTCTTGGGATTGGTACGAATGTTACAATTGTTGAAGTAACAGGCCCAGCAGATGTAATTACTGGCTTTGTTGTCGAAAGTTTTGAAGAATAAACCTTCCCAACAACCTTAGCATCCTCATGCAAAGCTTCACCACCAGCCTTTGCACTACCAACCTTCCTCTCTCCCCCTTGCACCCCTGTAAAAACAGGTGGGGCATCCATTGGTAATAAAGTTGAAATCTTGGACAGATGAGCTAACTGCTTTTGAAGAATTGCCTCAAAGTGTGTAAACTTTTGCGAAAAAAACTTAGGAGTAATGAATGAGGAAGATCTGGACTTCATAATCAAACCCTTTAACTCTGTTAACTGAGAAGAAAGCTCAGTTAGATTTTTCGTTTCTTGAGTGGACAAATTCGAAAGTTGAGGAGTCATTGCTTCATATAATGGCACAAACTTCGTTACAACATTAGCTATGATATCAAATTTCTGATGTAATGAAGCATAGTCTTTTTGAACCACTGTAACCTCCTTAGTCATTTCCTCACGAAGTTCTTGGAGCTTGAAATTAACATCTTCACGCACCTTCTTCACATCCAGGACAAACAATGTATGTCTTTCTTTGGCTACAGCCTGCAAATCTTTTACTGTACCAAAAAACTTTGTATCAAGAGAATTCACTTGTAACTCTGAATTCTGATCATTGTGATCCAATTTCTCTATGATTCGACATTCCGAATCTTTCAACATCCCAGACATTTTGCTCACCAGCCGAGCTTCAACTGCTTTCAATAAACCATCAATCGCCATTCCTAAGACAGAATTGTTTCCCACCGTATCTACTTGAGATTGAATTATATAATTGAGCTTTTTAATCAGTATCTTGAATTGTTTCATGGACATAATCATATGGTCAGGAAAATTCTCCTCTTCATCATCAAATTCCAACTCTTCGAATGTACCTCCAAAACCTCCTTCTTCCTCAGATTCTTCAATATGTTGAGGTGGTTTAGTTGATTGTCAAGAAAAAAGTGTAGTAAAAGGATGATTGATGATGTTTTCAAATGTGGGTGACTCAGTAATGGAAGTGGTAGGGATGATATATGAAGGTAAAGAGACAAAACTACTGGTAATAGGTTCGATAGAAATAACAACTGGTGTACCTTGTTGAGCTTGTGAAGTGTCTTTAGAGAGATCTCCTTCACCCATGGTGACATTTACATCCGTATTAGATACGTTTGTAGGGATGTCTGATGTTCGTACCTCCTCATGTAATGATTTGGTAGTCGAAACATCAGGTGGTATGACGATGGTCTTCTCAGGAGATGAAATTTTAGGCGATGTAGTAGTTTCAATCACTGCTTCTGCTTCCGAAGACTCCGTTGGTATAACCAATTTTCTGGTCTTAGACTTCTTCTTCTTCTTCGAAGTTCGTTTGGCCATGTCTTCAGCTTGTCATTTATTTGAAGAAGGAGAAACTGGAGCTGGAACGTCGTGTATAAGAACTCCCTGATGAGTATGTTGGGGTGTTCGAACAACACTTGAAGTTGGAGAAAGACCATACTTCTTCTTCAGCCTACGAAATACTCTAGTCTTTGATGGAATAGTGATTAACGCTTGTTCATTAGCAACAGGTTCAACCGGCTGGACCAAAACTTTCGAAACGGGTTCAACAGGTGCAGTATCAGGCTTCGCCTGTTGTTTTGGAGACTTTGATTTCTTCAGTGATGTAACTAGTTTATCAGGAGTAACTTTGACATCCTTCTTTGACTTTCTGGATTTCTTCGAATGACCAACATCTTCTTTTGTCAACAATTTCCCACTTTCTATGCTAGAATCAATAGTCTTTGTATACTCCAACAGCACATAATTTGATTGATCTACTCTTTTCAACATGGCATCTGGAATTCTTGCAACATGTGAAAATATTTATGCATCATCAGACACATCTTTAGGAAAATTATACTTCAAGAAATCTGTAGTTTCCTCCTTAGAATTCAACTGAATTCCCTCTTTATCATAGAAATATATGAGGATAAGACTCCAATATCGTGCACATGAAATACCTTGCACAACATTTGTATTCTCTACACACTTTTGAAACTCTTTCCATAATTGTGTATAGTAGTCCACGGGTATGACCTAATATATACCTGCAACCATGGCATATACTTCCATGCATCCTTTATCAAGCCCAACACTACGACCTGTTAAACATCGTAGAAAGATTCCAAACAAGAAATTCCAGATCGTCGGAAGACCAAACTTTTTAAAATCACTAATCTTGGTGAGTGGGGTTGATGACCCATCTCATTGAAGATATGATTCACTTGTGCAAAAGAAAGATCTACAAACGGTTGAGAGTTTGGAATATCCAAAATTTGACAAAATAGCTTCTTTGTCAGTCATACCTTCTTATCATTCACCAAGTTGAATGTGATGACATCTAGGGCTTTACAGTATGTTGTAGTAGAACCTGCTTGTGAAAGCCAGGATAGAGGTGCTACAAAAAAGTTAAACATAGCTATAGAAAGAACACAGCTCTTCAGGGCAACCACCAACATCTTCAAAACTTTAGGGTAAAGAGATTCATCCATTTCTACTTGATAGTTTGTTCCTTGAATCTTCATTATCGGTTGAGAAGTAACATCTTCAGTGGTTTGTGATGGAACATCAGTATGAGTAGCTATGACTAGAGTTATAAAATCGTATGAAGAACATTTGGATTTTTCAGAGAGAATTTGGGAATTTTTCTTCTGAAAGCGTAAACTGATAATAAACCCTTGAATCCCTTTTTATATGTAACCCTGATATTTGAATTTGAAGCGGGATGTGCATTTAATGAAATCCGACATGGCACCTTAAAACTCGCACCACTATTCCAATAAAGTAGCCACGCATGAGAGAGTAACTGTCGCTTCTCCTTGAAAACCATAAAGAATAAAATATGTCACTCCTAAAAGCCTATTTACTCTCCCAATGGAATTTGAATTGTCAGCAACCTTCGAATGGAGGTAAGGCTCGTTCACTTTTGCGATTTAAAGCGAATTCATGTTCCAGACTATCGAAATCATTAGCCTGAGTTGGTAGTACTCAGAACCTCAAGGATTTTGTAAGTTCAGTGTGACAAAGAAAAAGATAAGAATCAAACAAAATTAAACTTTAGATTTGTGATGTCAAAAACATTTTTACACGAAGGCAGTTAAACCCTAGGCAAAACTTACTTCGTTAATTATCAAGAGATATAATTAACTGCTTGTGTGTTTTCCCGTGAATTAAATTCGAAAAATTATTGAGAAATTTCGAAGGGCTTCTTTTTCAAGGTTTCATGGGTGGGTACACAATTTCGTTGCATATCAAAATCAATGTGAGAAATTGTAACAGATTCACTTGTTTGACCAGTGTAGTCAGTGACAAGTATGCTTTGAAAGAATTTTGAAAGTGACTTAGAAATCAATTGAAACTCTCACGGAAATCATATTCATGAAAAAAAATTGTGTTGGATCCTGTTGGGTAACAAACATCGTGGGTTTTTATAGTTTCATCAAGATCACTCATATGAAATGAATATAATCTGGAGTTTCGAATCTGGGTACAGAAAAAAAATCGTTAAAAATTAGAACATATTTCCCCATCAATTCCTTAAAATTTAGTTAATTGGGTTTCACTTACATCATGGTCTCATGATGTCAGTTCATAAACACAGTTTTTTGATATGTCTAAGTCTTGATAGGTTTAATTAGAGACATCTTGGACATATGTCCTCGTGTGTGATCGTGTAAGAATGTTTTGATGAAAAATGTTGGTTTAAGAAATCATTTGTACCTCTGTTATTTTGGACAAAACAATAAACTCTTAACTCATGTGAGAAGAGTCAAGTAGCTGATGCGACTAATGTGAATATAAGCCTGACTTGGGAAGAAATTTTCGTATGAAATATGTCATTAAGTCTTTCTTCAAAAAAACATAGAGTCATTCGATGCTTTGGTCAACATGTTGCAGCATGCTTCTAGGGACACTTAACTAGTACAAGAGTTTCGAAATATTTACTTGACCCTAGATCTGCAAGCATTAATCATTGAGATTCATCTTTGTTACCTGTAACAAAACATTAAGACAAAACAATACAAAACAAAATATTTTTATGATTTTTGATTTGCGAAAATATAAGAAAAAACAAATGAAAATCTTTTTGTTGTTTTTGTGTTTTTCGAAAAGAAATAACAAAACAAATGAAAAATCTTTTTGTTGTTTTTGAATTTTTTTCGAAAAGAAATAACAAAACAAATAAAAAATATCTTTGTTATTTTTGATTTTTTTATAATAAAATGAACTTAACAAAAATATTTAAAATGTACCGGAGACACGAATATTTCAGCTCTCGTTTACGAAGACGAAGGGTATCGAAGCGTTGACTATGAACAGTAACTTTTGACTCTGACAATTGTTTAGTTTTCGCTATTCTTTCGAAACAGAACCCACTTCAACCATTCCAAGTTCTCCTAAAATTCTCACAAATGATTTTTCATCTAACGGTTTTGTGAAAATAGCAGCCTATTGATCAATGGTTTTCACGAAATGCACTTCAATATTACCATCCTCTACATGATCTTTTATGAAATGGTAACGAAGAGGAATATCCTTAGCCTTCGAATGTTGCACAGGATTATGACAAATACGAATTGCACTTTGAGAATCACAATATAATGGAATTCTCTTCATGTGTATTGCATAATCATGCAATTGACTTTGAATCCAAATAATTTGTGATGTGCAAGCAGCAACAACAACATATTCTGCTTCAGCAGTCGAAATTGAAACACACGTTTGCTTCTTTGATTGTTAGCTCACCAATTTCCCATCAACTAATTGACATCCTCCACTCGTGCTTTTTTGATCAAGATTGAATCCTCCCAAATCAGCATCTGAAAAGGCTTGAATAAAGAAACCTATTTTCGAAGGATACCATAATCCTAACAAAATTTAGCCTTTGAGATAAAGAAAAATATTCTTGACTTCAGTGAGATGTGGTTCTCGTGTATTTGACTGGTACGTAGCAGAATTACACACAGAAAACATGATGTCAGGTCTACTCGTTCTGAGATAAAGTAACGAACCTATCATGATTCAATGAAGAGTTAAGTCAACTGCTGGTTTATCTAACGAAGATGTGAGCCTTGTTCCAGTTGCCATTGGGTGACAACCCGAAATTTCCATTCTGAACAAACCATATCAAGCCAATAGAAGTTAGAACAGTTACAGGGAAATTCCAGACTTTGGGTATAAGTTTGAGTTTTTCACGATTTACACTTCAGGAAATATCAGGAGAGTGGATGCACTAGGTTTTTGTGCAACACTGTTATTTCGATACTCTATGATATTAGAGTTCATTCCAGGAATAAAATATTTTCTGCCAAAAATCTCAGGACTATAAATAGAAAACTGAACCAAATAATTCATTAGTTACATTTCCAATTAGAGAAAAGCCAAATTCTCTCTCACGGATCTTCGGGCTTTTATCCCAAATCGTGAGTACTTCAATCTAGTTGTATTATATAGCTTAGATTGTGCTTAATAACATCAAAATCACGACATAACAACAAGATCTGTGAGTTTACTCCCCAAAAACATCTAGGAGAGTAAACTCCTTTTCAAGAGCCAAATGGTGCCTAGTCTTTCCTTGAGCCATGAAACTAGTTTGGACTTGTACACTAACGAGTTTAGGGACAGAAATCAAACTCAAAGCAACAAAATTATAGAGTTTACTCCCCAAGAACATCTTGGAGAGTAAACTCCTCTTGGAGATTAAACTCCTTTTGGAGAGTAAACTCCATTTTAAGGGCCAAAAGTGTCCCAATGTTCCTCAAAGCCTCGGAAATGAACCTTGAGACTACCTATGACATGTTTAGACATCCAAAAAAAAATAGAATCAAGGGTTGAAAGTGAGTTCACGGCCAAGGAAGTTCTTGGGCCGTGAACTCCATTTTAGGGTGTCAAAATACCCTAAATGCCACCCTTAAGCCAAGAGACTAGCATAACTTTTTTACCTTTATGTGTCTAAGACCCAAAACAACCAAAATACCACCACCCACAAGTGTTTACGACCGCAAACACATGACCAAATGGTCTATGGGCCGAAAACTCAAGTTAGGGGTGTTTTGGTGCCACAAACACTTCCTAAGGCTTAGGCATGAATTTAGAATGCTTCCTTATGACCTTTAAGACCCTCATAAACATATTTAGACATGAGTTTACGGTTGTAAACTCATTTGGGCCGTGAACACCCGAAAAGTGCCAAAAGAAGTGGTCTTTCTCATCCTAGGATAAAGCTAATGTCCCTAAATCATTCCCTAGCTTTCATACTTACACTAACCCATGAGTAACCATGAGTTTACGGCGGTAAACTCCCTTGGGCCGTGAACTCATGGTAGTAAACTCATATG